CCAGCCGCTTGGGTTTGGTTCCTACATGAGGTTTGGTTGTTCTGTAATAATGCCGAAGCATGTGAGCCGGTGGGTAGAAGGCGCTAGGTCACTCTGCGCTCGCCACAAGGCCATAGCAGTTCGTTTCCATCTCTGGGCCTCAGTTTCCCATCCTGGTGCCGATAACAATAGCAGCTTGCTCTCTGTGAAGTGTTTGGAGAGATCTTCTGTTGGTAGCATTACAGCTGGGCACTGATATGGATGTTGCTCTCCTACGTTAAAAAAAAAAATCCTCTAAACTGGTCTGTGTTAGAAGAGATTTTCATCTCAGTCTTGTGTGGGGATTTGCTATTAACCATCAGGAGACTAAAAGACCTTTAAAATAAGTCTTCTCACGTGGGCTGGATTCGGGTGTGCAGCTCAACTAGGAAGATGATTTTGTTACGAGTACTTCGCCCAGGCTGTTCCTACGTACAGGTCAAGCCTTTCGGATCAATTAGATGTGTTTGGAATTCTGCTTGCCATAAGAAACTTAGTGCTGAAGATAAACTTATTTTTCATTAGGTTTTTCAGGTTGGTACCCTGAGAAATTAAAAATGAAACAAAAACTACCCTCCCTCACTGAAGTCCTTCGACAACGTGTGTTACAGCAGAATGGGGGACAGCAGCGTACTTGCTGTGCGCCTGGCACGTGCTCCCCGAGATGCTGAGGCAGCCTGTGGATTTTACTGCGTTTTCTCTGTCCCTGTGTGATTGGTTTCATATCTGAATCCTGCTACTTGAAGGAGACTGCTCTGAAGCTTTTAGCACAGTCTGGCTTAGGAGCTGTTTAAAATAATTGCAATATGAAAACTTTGGACTAGGAATTGCTTTAACACTCAGTTTTCCTTTGTAACTTTTCAGTACCATATCTCTCTCAGTTTGTGCTTTTGGGGTTTTGGGTTGATGTTTTTTTCTCTCTTTTTTTTTTTTTCCTTTCCCTTTAGGCCCCTCCTGTTTATCTGAAACGTTTGCCACAGCCACGTGATTTCCTGCCACTCCGAATTCCGAGTGTTTACTTCCTCTGACTTGACCTCGGTGTAGTTCTTCAGCAACAGCAGTCTTGATTTTTCTTTCTTGTGCTGCTTGTGTTCTTACCCACAGACTCACAAAATGGTTAGTTGGAAAGGACCACTGGAGGTCATGGTCACTTGGCCACCTCCAACATGAAGCAGGACCAGGGCCAGCACTAGGCTGTGTCAGTCATAGCTTCATGATGATCCGAGGGCTGGAGAGTTGAGGCTGTTCAGCCTGGAGAAGAGAAGGCTCTGGGGAGACCTTCTAGCAGCCTTCCAGTATCTAAAGGGGACCTGTAAGAAAGCTGGAGAGGGACTTTTGACAAGGGTGTGTAGTGATAGGACAAGGGGTGATGGCTTTAAACTGAAAGAGGGGAGATTTAGATGAGATCTAAGGAAGAAATTCTTCTCTTTGAGGGTGGTGAGGCACTGGAACAGGTTGCCCAGAGAAGCTGTGGATGCCCCATCCCTGGAAGTGTTCCAGATCAGGTTGATGAGGGTTTGAGCAACCTGGTATAGTGGAAGGTGTTGGAACTAGATGATCTTTAATGTCTCTTCTAACCCAAACTGTTCTACGGTTCTGTGATTCATCCAGCTGAGTCTGAGACCTCGAACAGCTACTAACCTGAAGGTGAAAATATAAGCTGTGTGGTCTGGGACTTCTGGTCTTACTTCTGATCTTTAATGTTGGGTGACAAAAATATTCCTGGGGAACCTTTCCTTATTGGTTTCACCACCTGGGTAACAAAGACTATATCCAGCACTTGGGGAGAAAAAGTATTTGTGTACAAAGAGGGTTTTGTCGTAGCTAAGTGAGTAGTGCTCTGTATTTCTGGGATAGTAACGAGAGCCGTTAAGCTAATCCAGTGCAGCGCATGCAGGTTTTATCTCCCGTTTGGAGTGAGGTGGAACTGGTTTTGGTCTGGGTTCGATACTGCTTGAAGCTGTATGGTAATGTTTGATCCAGCTCATGTACGGCGAAGGGGCTCCATCTGTTCTCGTTTTATTACATTCTCATAGTTAAGGAAATCTGTGCAGTAGAAAAAGGTAATTCACGGCTGTCAGGTTAAGGGAGAACTTCCTGTTTCTGAAGATGAGGTAAAATTGTGTTCATCAGTGTAGTTACTAGAAACACCAGTACTGAGTACAGCATATGGAAGATAATGAACCACTTGGTGAGAAACTCAGTGACAGTCTCTCAACACCTCAATTAGTTGCCTTGTTCCTCGTGCCTTACTTGGTTTGAATGGATACAGCTCATCTGTCACCTTTACTATTTATTCTTTTTCTCTCCTCCAGTTAAAGCCCCACTTTAGAGTTTGCTGCTCCCACTTTAGAATTTCATTGGCTCTTGATTTTTTGCGATGGGCCTGTTATTTCAGGCTAGCAGGCACCGAGTTTAGGGGTAGAGAATTTTGGTTTGCGTTTTTGGTGTCTTGATTGTGCTTGATTTTTTTTTTATGGCAGCCCAAGTGAGGTTTTGTGCCAATACAAAGCTTCTGGCAGCAAGTTATTGTCACATCATAACTTTTTCTCAATGTAAACGATAACCTCTTACACGATGGTTTAATAGTTACGCTACTTAGATTGATTTTCTCTTGAAAACGAGGAGATGTTCCAGAAGATTCTCATGGAAACTGTATATTCTCACCTTAGATTCAGAATGTGTTTTGTATTTTCAGATTTGAAAATTTTATTCTGGAATTCACTTTTAATGTCCATCTTTGTTGTTTATGGCTGCCTTTTGAGCAACTTCCTTTCATACCTTACGCAATTTGTTAATTTTGTGGCCTGGATTATGCTGCTGATAGAGTAGGGTGAAGTTACAGAGTCGAGGTGTGTTTTGTTACCAGCAGATCCAACATAATTCTTCCATAAAATGATGAAAGTCTCACTAGAAATGAGGGCAGGTAGCCCTAGGGGGGTTGTTTCAGCTATGATGGCTATGCTCTGTCTGCTTTTTTTTGAGCTTGAGTTCATTCCTGACCAGTTTTGGATAATTACTCTGCAAATAATTGTCCTGCTAAATTTGTTTTTCTCCCGCTTTTTGTATCCCATTACCGTTATTGATGTACAGAGAGCAGTCATATTTCCTCTCAAATTTCTTTCTTCTGAACTAAAATAACAGGTTTTTTTATTTCTTTCTACCTGGACTTGTATTTCTTTTTGTTTTGGTCTGTCAAGAAGTTCAGTTATTGCAATAACGCGACCTTGGATTTTGTTATTTACCTTAAGAAAGAAGCGGCTTTAACCTTTCCCAGTTTTCTGAGCGACACGGGCTGAGATTATTGTGTTACAGAGCCTCAGAAATCTTCAAATTACATTTTGTCACATCATTATAGAAAAGGAAAATGGCTTCTCAGCAAAATGTTCAGATGAATCCAGAGGGATTTTTGGCCCCGGCTACACTGGGAAAGTTACTTTTTTGTGAGGAAGGAATGTGTGTTCTTTTTATTTTATGGTTGTAATACACGTTTGCATTTCCCAGGAACATAAAGATGTCCAGCTAAAATGATGAGTTACCTCTGAAAGGGTTTTTATTAAGGACAGAATGTCCTTTGCTCATCCTAGATCCTGAAAAAGGGAGAGTATTCGGCACCTGCAAGACCTGAAGCATCTGAGCGGAGCCAGCCTGGGCTGCGGCCGGGCTCCAGCGGCGCGGCAGCGCTCGGCTGCTCTTGGCAAGGAGAACTGAATCATCCTGATGGAAATACAGAGATTATCAAACTAAATTCCCCTTTCGGGCCTGCCTTGAAATAGAGGCTGCAGCCCAGTATTTATCAAAGACGTTGTGCTGGGTTTGTGTGAAGGGGGGCCGCCACTGCCTTCGTTGTGTAAGAGGCACAGATGTCGGCTCATCTGTGGCCCTGTGAAAATATGCCAGTGTTTTTTGCAGAAATCTGTGGGAGACTTACTCGTGGGCGGTGATTTTATTTTTATTTTTTTCTGTTCCTCTTTGTGGAAGGTCAACGCAGCATCAGTTTTCTCCTTTATCTCTGTTACTTGGCCAGTAGCAGCAACAGAACTTTGTAGACTCAACAAGCAACACAGCATTTAGAAAGTTTACTGGAAATTACTGTGAAATGGTGCCTAGAAGTGGCTGTTATCAGTTTATGAAAGAAGCTGATGGGGGATGCTTTAAACCATCTGTCTTGTAGTTTTTGGCTCTTGTTCAAACTTGCAGAGTTGTTATAGCTAGGGTGTGTTAAAACTGTAGCCTGACGGTATCGTTTCTTCTGAGCTAATAGAGCTGAGAAAAGCACTCCTTGCCTGAGATTTCACTGTTTGATCTAAAACGATCCTACTTTAGTCTGCCTTGAAACTTTACTTTTCTTGCAGTGACTCATTATGTTACAGAATTGCTTAGAATTTTTTATTTGAAGAAAGCCTCTGTAACAGATGTATACAAAGAAAAATCTGTAATACAAAGCAAAACTTTGTTTCTTCTCTTCTGCTAACATGGATTTCTCCTAGCATTAGGAGTCTTCTCTTAAAAAAAAAAAAAGACAAAACCAAAAAAAACCCCACAACAAAACCATCTTCCTTTTCTGGAATGAGCTTGTCTTACGAGGCGTTTATGGTTTTATGAAAGGTGCAAAATGATGCCATCTGTGTAATTCAATACTCAGTATTGTTGGGCAATCAAAGAGAGAAAGATGGTTTGTCCATGCAGCAAGGCTCACGTTTTTTAACACAGTGGAGCAGAAATGCATGTTTTGTGGTTCTTGTACTGCCCTTATGACTTCAACCTTGGAAAGACAGACCTAAAAGTACTGGTAGCAAAGCAAGCTGGAATGAATTCTTCCAGTGTTTAACGCTACTGCAAAATGTGGCCAGGGAAGGAGAGAAAATCAACAGCCTCATGAGCACTGGACCAACTGGCCACGCTGGGCTTTTCCTAGGTTTTCCGTCCATTTCTTTTTGAGGAAGGAAGCTAAATAAACTGGGCTTTATTTCTCTTTGTAGGTGAAATCTGTGATAAATCTACTGTTTGCTGCCTACACGGGGGATGTGTCTGCACTCCGGAGGTAAAAATCGGTGCGGGGTCGGGAATAGGAATGCTGCTTGTTGTTGTTGTTTTACTTATGACTATGCACGTGCGCTGGGGCCATGTTGGGGCCATCTGAGCTGTGCTGGAGATGGAGCATGTTCACCCAAAAAACAACCAACCAGAAAAACCCCCAAACCTCAAACCTAACCATCAAAAAGATACCCTCATGCTATCCTGCAATCCCATTGTTTTCTGTTTCTTTGGATCGTAATGAAATACATTTCCTTAACCAGTTTTTTTATAGCAATGGCAGAAAATCCTAGCTGTGCTCTCGCCTGCTTTGTATTTCAACTCTGAAACTGCCACAAAAATTCAGGCTGGAAAATGCCCATTGTTGTTGGAGAGGTTAGGAAATCTAGCTTTGCTTTTTAAATCTGGAGTAGAATCTGGCAACGTTTAAAGTAATAATGGTAAGAGACTAAATAAACGTGTTAATTTGGCTAGAATATATCTGAATATAGTTAGTAGGTGGAAAAATGTGTATAGTTTACTCTGCCATCCTGTGATGAAATACCTTAACGCTGTTCAGCATTTTCAGTCTTGGGAGTCCTCGCTGGATTTTCTCAGCTGGCGTAAATTGACTTTGCCTTATATGACTTAGCTCGTCCATGTTAGATATGAAATCGAATATGTTGACTGTTAGATTTCCTGCAAAGACATTTTTCTTTATAACAACTGGAGAGCAGAAGGAAAGTTAAGCCCCTACCTTTTTTTTTAAAAGCCAAAGCAGTAATCCTTTCATTATAACCAAAGGTACGATGTGCTCTTGATACCTTTTATATCCTCTTGTAGCAGAAGTTTTCATCATTTTAGCATAGGGGTATCATTCTGTGCTAGTTTTCTAACTTGTTCTAATTATGTAAGACTTTTCTCTGTAATCATATTTTTTTAGATTTGCTCTGTCAGGAATGGATATGGAACAAAGAGACTACGACTCACGAACAGCTCTGCATGTAGCAGCTGCAGAAGGTGATGTCTCCTCATACATGGTTTGCTGTCTGTCAATGGAGCGTGGTCAGCTTTCTTTAGACTGTCTCCACTCTCTCTATATGCATACCTGCTTTTTAAAACTTTGTGTGACTATACGTCGAGATATATTTAAGTATATACACTCACAAGCCTGCTTTTCTTACAGGACATGTGGACGTTGTTAAATTTCTACTGGAAGCCTGCAAAGTGAATCCTTTCCCCAAAGACAGGTGAGTGGTTTTATCACCAGTTTGGAGGAGAGATGCTCTAACAGCGTCTCTCTAGCTCCTGTGTGGAGAGGTGTCTGTCAAATAAGAGCGGAATGCATTGAGCCAGTACACTGGAGGAGAAGGGGTGGGATCCTGCTGGTTCTCTGTAGCTTCTGCAGAGCAAACGGGAATAAAAAATTGGTGAAACCATTGAAACTGTTGTTTGAAAGGTTATGCTCAGTTTACAAAGTGTTTTCATAGTTACTGAACTTAGTGCGGTCTATTAGCACAGTATGTAAGAACTAGACTTTTGGTGCTTTGTACTTGGCGTGATGATCTTAAATACCATTGTCCCTCCTTCCTGTAGGTGGAATAACACTCCCATGGATGAAGCTTTACATTTTGGACACCATGATGTATTTAAAATTCTTCAGGAATATCAGGTCCAGTACACGCCATCAGAGGATTCCAACAACGGAAAGGAGAACCGAACGGTTCATAAAAATCTAGATGGCTTATTATAATCGTCTTCAGCTAGATCCTAAGAATCAAATCACTTACCTATTTAATTGTGATATGCATAAGTAATGAAGAGCGTGTGTGTTTCTATCTGATAGTGGTATATATTTTACAGAAGTCTCTGTTACTTCAGTGTTATGTTACAGGAGTTTCTATACGCACAGGACAAATCCAATCTCTCTCAAAAGAAACAAAACCAACCAAGAATCTCCCTCCATAATGTGAGCAATATTACCTCATGCTGCATATGATTGATGTGTAAAAATATTTAGCTGTTGTTGGCTTTACTGTGCACTACTTAATTTATTTTTGTGTTTCTATGTGAGCTCTAGTCTGTGGTCAGGAATTTTTCTGCTGAATTTTTGTTTCTCTAGCCCTCTGTTTCCAGTATGGCCGAGATGAGCCAGAGTGCTGTCAGGTATGAGCATCAGTGAGGTTTTTCAAAAGCTGAGGATGCTGATGTAGATTTAGGCTGGGTGTGTTAAGTAAGGATCTGCACTTAACCTTTGGGGGGGGGGGGGAAATCCACACAACCTTGTTTACATAATATAAATATCAACAGAGCATATAGGTGACAGTTGTCAATAGTCTAGGCTTGTTCTTAGAGATAGTTTTGTCAGAGAATCTGTTTTATGGTTTGTTTGACCAAATGGCATAGGGGAACGTGACTTGTAACATCAAACAGCGTTTAGTGGGGTTTTTGGTTTTGAAGCGTTTCTTTCCGTTCCCTTTGTCTCGCCTCCCTCCTCTCTCCACGTTCTGCTGCTAAAGTACTTCCCCTCTACTGGGGAAAGCAGGTGCTTCCACTCTCTGCAGTCGTGTTCCTTACAGGTATGTTTGCACTACGGCAAGCCTCGACGAGCTGCAAAAAAACCCTTTTTGGGCTCGTGGGTGGTGGTCTTGGCGGTTGCGCCAGGAGCCAGTGGGGGGGAATGGAAGTAGGTGAAAGGCAAAGTACTAAACCAAATCTCACATGTAAATCTGGCTTAATTTAGGCTTATAAATAAGGAACACGGATGGAGTGAAACAGCTTTAAGGAGCATAGAGCCTATCAAAGCATGACCAGAGCAGGAAATAAGCCAAATTTTTGGATATATTCTCTTATTGCACTACCATCAACCAGGGAGCAGGATACTGCATCAGTGGGATTCCGCCGGTGTAGAACAGGAGTTCCAGCAACAGGAGCACAAGTAGGTGATGCCTTTTGTGGTGAACAGTGGCATTTATCGTCTGGCCACTAAAGCCAGTTTGGCACATGCCCCATCGTGGGAAATGTAGGTGCAGGTATGTGTTGTTTGCAGAAGTACAATGTTACGACAGTTCCCTGTCCCATGTGCAATTGCTTCTGCCGATACCGTGGCATAAAACCTCAAAACTGAGCAGTCACTTAAAGTTAAGAGTTTGATATTCACAAAACCCCACAGTTGTTGGACACAGGCAAGAATTTTAGCACAAGAATTTTAGCACAAGAATTGTTTAGCACGTGGAAAAGGAGATTGTGCTTGAGAATTGCGTCTGTGGCTATTTTTACCCTAGCACATGGTATACATGTCATTAGTAGATCTCGAAGTTCAAATTTTCTGTGTAGGCACCAAAATCCTCCTGAAAGAATGACAAAATTCATTCTAGAATGGCCCAAGCACTTTATAAAGATGATCTGAACCACATTATCCTCCTTTTGCAAATGAGTCCGCTAAGGCGTAGAGAGAAGTAACTTCTCCAGAGTGACCCCGCAGGCTGGCAGAGTTGAGAATAAATCCTTTCGAGTTCCTGTACAGTCTCTTGTCGATATGCCATACTGCATCCCTGTGGGGAAGACAAATCCCATGGAAAAGTGCTTGATACTCATCACAAGCAGTGACTGTCTTCACAATGATGAAATCTTGGAAGAGTCTGAAAGTCTAAAGCCCTGAAAGCACACGTGGAAGCTGGCTGGCATGGTTATCAAACACTTTTTCTCAAGAATCTTACTGTTCGTAAGTGGCTTCACTCCTCAACCCTTCTTTTTTTCTGAAGATCAGCTGTTTTTCTGAAGGCTTTTAAAACCCATTCTTTTCACATCCTGTGTCACAGCCACCTTCGTTCTAATCAAGAACTAACCGAAATGGCCTCTGGCTCTTTATTGAGCCACACTGGCCACTGAGTAGCACAAGGTCTCTTCTCCACTGCACCCTGAACTAAATACCAACGTGTTTTCTCTGGCAACAGATCTGTCAGCTTTCGCATAGAGGAATTTCAGACGGACTCTAGTTTGGTATTCTGTATCTCAGCGCTAATCTGACTTCTTCCCTGGTATTTTTTTTTTCCTACTAAAACATCCTTTGGCTTCTCAGAAAAATACCTGATTTAGCTTTAATTAATTGAGATTTGCATTGTTCATACTGGCATTTTTAAAAGATAGGTATATTACATAATACACATATATACAAAAAAAACAACCAAAAGAAGGCGTTTTAACTGAGTTACCATTAAAGATTATGGCTGTCCCTAAACTCAACGCTTTCCGGAATTATACTGAGTGCTTTTAGCTGGTCTTAGCTTCAGTGCATTTTTGCTGGTTAGCTTTAGTATTTTCTCGTTGTGAGAAGATGCATTATTTTGTAATGTCCAATTCAGCGATGCAGCTGTTTAGACATGGCGTTATTTATAAATATAAATATATGCATTGGTTTGGCTCTTTTATCATTCATGACACTGACATGTAGATTTTAACGTAAATAGCTTTGGGTTATCTTATCAAATGCTGACTTCCTTATGCTCCAAAGAGGATTCCTCCACTCCTTTGTTTTTGTGTCATATATGTTTCTTCTGTATCACAACCTAAAATCGTTAAGCTAACTTAATGCTTTGTACTCAGAAATATTGTGATAGTCTTAGCATTAATTAGCCTATCTTTGTGAACAAAATGTATCGTACCAGATTTTTTTTTGCTTCAGAGCTGGACTATCAGTGACTGTACTTCTCAGCAGCGTACTTCTGGTCGTCGCAACTGACTGGGCTGATCTCGACTTTTAGATTCTGTATTGTGGGGAATAGACAGTGATGAATGTATTTCTAGCAGTTTCCCATGAATGAATCTAAACTTGAGCTGTACTGGTTCTGAAAATGAAAGTTATTTATTTTAAGAAATAAAATCCAGATAGTGTTGCTTTTTACAGCATAATAAATGGAAATACCAAGATGATGACAATGGTGGTGATGCGTTTTATTGGTTATCTATGCGACCGCTGTTGAAACAAGCGTTCAGTTGCGCAGAAGGCTGTCCAGGAAAACCTGCTGTGGTCATTTCCATTGTGCAAAGCTTTCAGGAAATCAGAATGAGTTTATCTGATCTACCTTTGTTTTTTTCTTTATTTTTTTCTTTTAAACTTACACTTCTAGAGCTGTGTCCTTTTACTGATTGCTTTTTGTTCCTGCTGGGATTCTTAAGTGGATTGGCCATGTGCCTCTGAACAGCTCCACCTTTCTCTTGCCTGCTCTTCCCTTCTGCTATCCTTCATCTCACCAAGTTTCTTTCTTTTTATTATTCTTCTGGCTGTGTAGTTAATACAAAAGCAAGGGATTGTATCACTGAATAGCCCCAGAGAAAAACGATGCAGCAGTGGGCCAGCTTGATAGCCACAAAGTTTAGCCACGGATCAGTTATCCTACTGATCAACTCAAATTAGAAATTCAAGTTGAGTTTAGTGAAGTTTGGTTGGGGAAGGAAGAAATATCAGGGATATGATACAAGCAAGAATGAAAAAAAAATAATGCTAACGACCACCTTCTAAGAACTCTGTGATGCAGACCAACCTGCAGGAATGGAGTGAAAGAAAAGCATCTACATTGCCTTAGACTTCAGAGCTGTAACTGTTCAGTTGCACAAACACATTTAAAATAAGATTATTATAAAGATGATAGTTTACTGTATAGGTAGCCAAAACATAAGAGAAGGGACAAAGTGTCAACTGACAGTTCCATTTATTTAAAATGACAAAAGAATATTCCATCGGGGGGGAGTGGGGGGAACATGGCTTTTACAACTATTTGCCATGTAAAGATAAATCCATGAATAAAGCCATTGCTTTAAATCTCTCAAGCAAATTTCACCCTGGTCGGTAAAACTGAAATACCAAAGTAATGAAAACGAAACTGCTGTATAAGGAACGTAAGTACAAAGTTGTAGCTCAATAAACAAGTCCTTTTTTTTAATATAATATAGATACACATTCAGCAACCTCTAGTAAGGTGAAAGCAGTAAGTTTCCAGTTGTGGTATTCTGCAGCACTGTTAACCTCCGTAACACAGGGTGGTACTAAAAATAAGTCAGTTTAGCAACGCTTTCCATGGAAGTAGGTATGTTATGTGCTCTAGGTCCTTTAAATTTTCTTTCTCTCTGGCTTCTGCAGGGGGGCATATCAGTCTTCCTGGGCACAATGCACTAAATTGAACCAGTCATTCATTTTCTAAGCAGCAACTGATGGATCTAGCGTTTCCGAATGGCAGAGAAGTGGCTCTGCAATCCCTGTGAGGGCCACTGCCGCCCTCCCAGGCGCTGGGAATGGGGTAGCAATGGGTTGAAAAGCTGTAGTAGCAGCTGTGTCATGCAAGGGTTGAGGTTGGAGGGGACCTCTGAAGGTCATCTCATCAAACTCCCCAGCTCAAGCAGGGCCACCTAGAGCTGGTGGCCCAGGTCCTGTACCTGAACATGTGGGATCCAGCATCAGAGTTCTGCACTCCCTCTGCTCAGCTGCATGCAAATTAGCAGTACAGACTAATTCATGCCCTTAGTCTAAGAGACCAGCTGCTTAAAAACAACCTTGCCTCTTAACTGTGAGTTGTTAATTATCTTCAAACATGCTGAGAACAAATCTGTTCCTCCTCTGGTGGAAGCACAGCTTCATCCTTTAAGTACTAAGGACTGCATATCCTATAGCCATTGCTCAGTAGAAACTGAACTTCTTCACTTTCCTGTGCCTTATCCCTAATTGCAAAACCATTTCATTATCAAAGCCCAGAGGGTCTTCTAAGCTATTACAATCAACAGCGAAATAAATGTCCTGGTTCATAGTGCATGAGAAAATTAAGTTCCATTCCACCTGTTACAACCTAAATTGGGTATATGTTATTGTAAAAGAGATGAGTGACCAGATCTTCACCTTGGTAGATTAAGCACAGTGAGCAAAAACATACTCCAGCCCCTTTTGTACTCTTTAGGAGCAGGTTCTCGTTTCGTCCCATGGTGCTGCTAGACAGCATGATGGCAGTCTGTAGAGGCTTTAGTCTTGATTCTACGCGTTGAGTTGCAAGCAAATGTGCCGATGCAGCTTTAAGGCGGTGTCCTAAGTGCTCTTTATGAGAAACATTGTGCTAAACATCCTACACGAGAAGACTTTGCCTTAAGAAACAAGCAAAAATGAAATGCGGGTAATGTTTGTTGGCTTATGTGTCTCAGTGCGCCATGCCCTTAGCAAAGATAAAACCAGGACAAACTTCAACAGCACATGGATTCCGTGTCGCACATACCTGCAGAGTCTTCTTTCTGTGATGCAGGCGCAAATTTAGAGCTGTGAAAGTTCTTCAGGAGTAGGTTCACAGAAGGTGCAAGCTTTCTGAACAGAACCTCTGCAAAAGAACTAGCTTTCCTTTGAAGCCGCCTGTGTACAGCCAACTGTTCTAAACGTTAAATTTATCTAATTCCCTTAAACAAAAAATGCATGTTTCTCCCATCATTCTAGCTGAGGACCTTTTGTTCCTATCCTCCTCTTTTCCTCCACGCTGCCACAGTATCTTGCCAACTGGAAATTCTTTAACAAACAACTTCTAAACAAAAGAAGTGCGTGTAAGGAGGCTACTCAGACTGCTGCTCATATTGCCACTAGTTAAAAATTGCTACTGGGCCTTCAGGTTGAGAAACTGATGTGCTGTGAAGTATCTAAGGTTTTCCCAAAGAACTGAAGTGAAGCATGGCACCAAGTCATTGACTGCAGAGCCGGATGCATAAGCTGCTCAGCTGTGTTAATGCCGCAGTAAAAAGCTCAGCCTTTACGTTGAATACGCTGAACACATCTGCAACAAGAAAAGCACGTGTCATTTAAGCCAAGCAAAGCCCGAAAACTCCAGTTGTTGCTAACCACAGAGCACAACCAGGTCCTCCCCAAATAGCACCAGATTCACAACTTAGGATCAAACCACTATGAGAAAAAAAGAAAAAGCTACGCTTTGGTTTTGTTTTTCTGAGTACACCCCGAAGGGAGAATGCTGTTCTCTTAACAGGCAGCACCTCGCAGGCGTTGGCAGGGTGACACTGCCCAGATGCGTACCAGCTCTAGCTGCCCTCCCCACCCCAGGCCCCAGAGGAAGGACTACAGTGTTACCCCTTCCTCCCTTCCCGTCTTCCCTCTTCCTGCAAGATGCGCACCGGAGGCTTTGCTCTCCTGTTCTTCACAGACAAGTGGAAAGAACAACTGACAGCAATCCAAGTCTAATTCTGGATTCCCAGCTTTTCCCATGCATTTGGAGAGACCTGTTCTGAAGTGCCAGCCTGTGTTAACTGTCTGATGTATGTTTGAAGGGAAAAAAAAAAAAACAGGAAAAAAGCAAGTTCCGGCTCAACCCTCCTGCACAAGGCTGGTTTGTGATACATACCACAGTATCAATCTCTGCTGAGCCCACCATCCGAGACACCTCATCAAACTCTTCAGGAGACATGGGGAGCAGATTTTCTGGAGACTGAAGCCTGGAAGGATGACTAACAGAAGAACAGAAACCTTCACTAAAGAAGCAAGGCACGACTGGGCTACCATGTCTGGCTCTGAGTGCAGAAGGGCCACCAACCAGGTCTCTTGTGAAGACCAGCCTGTGAGCAATGCAACATCCTCTGCAAAACCAGCATTGTTTTGCAAGAAATTATTTGCCAGTACAACTACCTGCAAGCTTCTAGGGTTTTGCCTAAAAATGGTGTTTCGAACACAGCGCTGCATGAACGTGGTGTGATCAGATCTTTAAAGAGAAAATGAGGAAAGATTTGCCAGGGGCACCTACACCTTAAACACTGTGATGAGACATGAACGACAGCTAAGGAGTTATGATCACTTCCTAGGAATACAGCATTTATGTGGAAACTTACACTTCAGATACAGAGATTAACTCAGTCTTGATGTAGCCATTTCCCTTGGGACCATCCAAATCCATAGGCTCTGGTGCTTCAAGGAGGGGAAAAAAAAAAAAAAAGCTTGGTGTTTTTTCAAGCAATTTTACTTCACGTTGCCATCTTTATTATACCAAAAATAAAGCCCGTGCCCCAGATAACATGCAAGTCTCTCCCATACATTTTACAGCACTATGGTTAATTTATTCCAATTTTTAAGTCAGATTTTCCTTTTTGCTTTTCCCCTACAGCAAACAGGGAACAAAACCTCCCATGAAGTTTGATGTAGCTGTATCAACACATCCTGCCAGGCCCACTTTAGCCAGAATCAGTCCTCTGTCACAGACAAATGTGAGTCATGGTTGCAGCTGTTAGTGGAAACCTAAATCTCTTCAACATCTCACAGGCTGACGTGAGAGCTGAATTAGAGGGCCGGCGACAATTATGTTTTCAGTTTCTGAGCTGACTAGATCTCACGTTGTGCCTCTTTTTAAAAACAGACTTTTTCTTAACCTACTAAAGCTTAGGTGCCTGTTCTCACCTTCCAGCTGAGCAGCACTCTCAAGCATGGGTTAGGCTGCCAAGACATTCAGTTCAACTGCTACCCTTTCTTTCCATTTCTCCAGTTTCCGAAGAAATTATCCAGTGCCCAAGCATCTCAAGAACAAACATCACACACCGTATGAGCCATTTACAGCACTCACCCTCCTTAGGCCTGGAGTAGTATTTGCCAAAGGCATTATCTTTGGGTATATCCGGGTACAGAAATCTCAGTGGATTTTCAGGAATGTTTTCAGCTGCCATCACTTTATAGTTGCGAATGATATCAGGGAAAGTGACAGCAGAGAGTTCCTTCTTGGTGTATGGTTCTACTGAATGGAACTGGGGCTCTGCAGATGAGAGAACAGTGACTCTTAAAAATGGTTTCAAAGTTTTTTCTAAAACCACCCAGAAAAGCTGCAGTCACTTCCACAAATTCAGAGCTCAGGTGAACAAAAGGCTTACCTGGATGACACCTACTGCGCTGCAAGTGAATATTTAATGACGGTCAAAGGGAAAGGACAAGTGTTTTGCGGGGTAGGAAGGCTTATGGAGGGACGGTATATACTGATAGCTTTTGGTGTGGTTTGTACTCAGAATGACCGGGGTGACTTGTCCATAGAAACGAACTGTGGTATTTCATTAATTAAAGTTGTGCTACTTTTTCAACCTTCTTCCAAATGATGTAATTCTAACTCTATTGCCTACTAGAAGTTTGAGCCCAATAGTCCACTTGGAGCTCTTACGAATCATAAAGAGAGGCACACAAATCCACCCTAAATGTTCCAGATGCTATCACCCTTCTTTGCTCAATTTTTGGATGTCTCAGCTATGAAGGCAGCAAAAGGGAAAGAAGTCATTCAAGTACATTCAGCAGTTTCTCTTCCAGCTGTTGTAGGTCTTGGGCTCATCCAAGTGAAGTGTCAACAGCTGCAGCATCCTGGCAGGTGGGTTTGATTTAAGCAGTGTGATAAGGGAAGAACCCTGATTGGATACAGTGGAGGTTACAGCTTGTGGCAACTGTTAAGTCTCTGGGCTTTCTTGACAGAAGGTGCCTAGTTAAATGAAGAAGCCAAGCCTTTCATCAGTCTTTTTTCTGGAAATGGAAGGAAAGAGAACTGCTAGGAAAATGAAGTAATTAAATGTGTGGTTTACCTAGGGAGCATGTGGGCTGGAAAGAACAAGTGCATTGGACCATGAGTTAATGCTAGTTGTTTGAGAAAGGAGTGTTGCACACAAGGTGTAGTAGGAGAGAATAATAGTACAGAAGGCTGAGTGTGGCTGTAATGAACTTTTTCTGGGAAAGAAATCTGATGGGGAAGGTGGTAAGGGGTTGGAGGGAGATGCAGGTGTGTATGTACTAAATGTGTTCTGTTAAAAGAGACCCTAAGGAGGTAGGGCAGACAGCCCAGTTGGTTTGTCCTCAACAAACTTCCAGGCCAGAAGCAGTACCTGGGAAGCGTCAGTAATTCCAGATGAAGCCTTGAGCAATCCACTGTGTGGCTTATGAACTACGCCAAGTAAGGCATGTGTCTGCCATGGCTAGTGGCCTGTTGCTTGTCAGGGTGGGGACTGCTACGGTGGTGTACTATATTGGCTCTCAGTGTGAAAGAGAGGAACATAAAGACTCCTTGTTCTGATGTAAGCTTATATTTGGCAGACAAATATGTTCTCTGTTACTGACTTACCATTTTGAGATCCTTCTACCCAAGTAAATGTGATTGCTCCCTCTCTGCTGCTTTCACTGAATCTTAGTAAAAATGTTCCTGGACTCTGGTCCTTCAATAAAGCACGTTCTTTCTCTTTACTGATGAAACCCATGATGCAGCTGTAACATTGAAAAGAAGAAGTTGAGTTTATTTCTCAACACAAAATCTAGGTTGTGCTGGGCCAGCTAGGAAAACTAAAAAGCTAAAGTTCTTGTAAAAGTCTCAGAGAAGGAGTGTCCTGGGAAGTCAGTAGTAGGACGGACAGGCTAGAGTTGCACTGTGGAAGCCATGAATCACCACAGCTTCCCTCAGCACTCTTCTTTTTGCCTGGTGGCTTAGACAACCGTTTTTCTGAGCCTTGAATTAAAAAAGATTGTCTTTTGCTGTCAAAACTGGGCTATGGAAGCAGAAGTAAAGTTACATGTGTGCAACAATCAGATGCCAGCTAGCAGTTTTGACTTGAAAAGTATATTGAGGAACAATTGATTCTCCTCTTTGGCTGATGAAACAGTCTGCTAGCTACCAGACTGCATCTACAGGTGTGGGGTTTCTTCTGTTCCTTGTGCACATTTTCTAGATGAGCTTGTTAAGCTTGTGTGACTTCAACCCTCCAAAAACACTGCGCTCAGCAAATGTCATTGAAAAAAAAAGGCCAGTGTGAAAGCTTTAAGAAAGGGCTTGGTCTTAACAGGTACTGGGGGAGGGAGTTGCACAAGCCAGCACTAGGGCATAACCCTGGTCAAACTCCAACTGCTTTTTTTTTAAAAAAAAAAAAAAGTTAAGAGTTTTTTGCACTGCTGCTTATTCCTCAAAACACTCCATCAATAATGAAGTTTTGAGTATTACTCAAAAAGCACTACTACTACTGTCCTTCCATGTGTTAAGTTACAGTGCTTTGTGCACAAACTCCTAAATATTTATGATTTGGCTTAGAAATTTCAGGTGCTGTAGGCTGCCCTGTTCTATGAGGTCTTGTGGGGTTTTTGGTTTGTGGTTTTTTTTTTTAAATGGCATGCTTTAGATAACAAATCTGTTTAGTAAATGTACTGTGTATAATGAATAGTCTTTAGCCCTCCCATCCCTCAAGCACGCAGAAAGACAAGTGTTCTTAAGGCTGTAATACTTATTCTTTTGTACACAAAGGGAGTCTCTATCCTAACAAATACTATAGATTTGTCTTTCCCATTCATGTACATTCTGTTTGCAAGAGTTTTTTTGCTTCGGTTTCCCTCTTTACATTTCTAAAAGCCAAAGATTTGTGACTATCTGACAAAGCCAGCTGAGAGAAGAAAAACTAATAGTACTACATCTCTGGTTTTGATTACATTCAGGATTTAACTTGCACCTTTTCTCTCTGTTAAACCCTAAACAGGGGATTGCTCTCGTGACTGAGAGCAATGAGTAATGCTATCCAAGACTGTATACTATCAAAGCTACAGGCAAAAACAATCCTGTGGGCACGCAGCCATTCTGAGGCGGAACATCAAATGTGAAAGAACTGCAACTCTGCTTCAGTAATAGTGGCAGAAGTTCCCACTGCACTGGACTCCACATAAGAAGATGAAATACATAGGCTTTAGGCAGTGAGACGAGGCTTGTACTAAAAAAGGCTCTGACAGAACTCATCTAGAGCTAGGGGGTAATAATTTGAAGCCTGCTGCTGAATTTAGCAAGACAGCAATCCTGCTGTTGTAGATCCTGCAGACTTGTGGGATACTCGGATGCTCTGCTGTGAGTGCACTACTGGCAGGGTTTCGTAATACAGCTAAACCTGAAAGGCAGGATTGTGACCTTGGCTGAACCTATCTCTGGCAGCAATTACTTCTGAAATCAGCAATACCAGAATCAAAAGTTTACTAAACCAGTGCTAAACAGAAAATGGAACTGGTTTTCCATCTAGCAGAGACCTACTAATTACTAATACTCTACTAAAATCAGTAAAGGCTACTTTCCAGACACACATTGCAGATACAGAAGCTCAGAGTCAGGCTGCTGCCACCCAGAGGATGTTCACAAATAATGTTTGTTCGTGGGTAGGTTTTTTGTATGTTTTTTTTTTTTAAGATGGATGATTATTATATGACTTATGCTTTGTTGTATCTTAGTCTCCCCTGTCAAACGCAGAAGATGCTCTGTTCTGGGGTGTAGAAAGAACCTACTTGTAGCAGGAGCAGAGGCAAAAAAAATCTAATGCTTAAAGTCCTACTCTGTGACTTAAATGGGACAGCTTGTTCATCTGACTCTTTTGCTTAAAAGCAATTGCCACATTAGAGGCTTCCTCACTACTAGAATTCATTTGCCTCAGGTTTTCTGTTTGCAAATTCCAATTTATTAGATCCAATGAAGTATTTGTGCAAACACCACTACAACCTAAGGATGCAACTGCTAGCCTAAATGAAAGGTTTGAGGCAATGACCATATCTTTAACTTCATTCAGGTCTTACCCATCATTCCAGAGACACAGAAGGTGTTTCTTAATAAGCTCCAGGATTCCCTCAATCCACAGCCAAAAGGGGAAATTTTTATCATTTATATTTTCCTGAAATTCAGAATATGGAAAGGCAGGGGTGGGAGAGGGGAAGAACAGAGATAATGAAACATGAGTTTTATTAAGGAGAGGAAGCAAGCTGTTAATCCTGCCAGTGTCTATTTGTTCTTGCATTTTTCTTCCCTTCTTCCTTCCCACTATCCTTGTGTTCTCCTATGATTTTTTCCCTTTCTGTTTCTCTACTCCAGAAGGACAGAAACTATTAGGAATGAAGTATGTAAGGCAAGAGGCAGTGTAGGAGAAATGCCTGCCTGAGCCTACAGTATCCACAAACATGTGATCCATCACCTCTCATGCAGTGACACTAGTCTAAGAACAGAGAAAAGGCTCTGGTTCCTGCCTGGGCACTGTCCTTATTGGAGCTCTTGGACATCTAAACCAGTCCATGGGGCCTTCAACCAGGCTGGCTAGCAGAACAGCTTAGAGATGCTTTATGTTCAGACTCCAATGTCAATTCCTCATGAGACCCACATGAATGAACTTGGGTGCTTGTAGGTCACCAGAGCTTTGCTCTTTCC